TATAAAAAACAAGAAACGTTCAAAAAAGAAAGAGATAAATACCTGACTAACTGGAGAACGTAACGTGGTACGTATCACTTTCTTCACACAGATGGAACCTTCACTTTCAAAGCCGTAGCCAACGCAGGCGGATGGTACACACAACAGACGCTTGAACGCGCTATAACTGAAACTGATCGGTGTATCAACATGTTTACGTCCAATCATTCCCATAATTCACATGAGTAACAGCTTTCACGAAGTCAGCTAACAAAACAAAAGGAAAACCAGGTAGCGGAATGAATAATTTTACACAATAAGTGCGAATAGTGATGAAAAGCATGAAAAATGGAGCTTCATGAAAAAGCGAATGGTTGGTAATCATAAGGATCAGTACTGCTGCGTACTCAGTACTCTGACGGGTAAGAACACAGAGACGAGCCCCGCCATCCAAGTACTTCAGCTCGAGAATTATATTCCATGTGCATGGCAAACACCTGGCCAACGTGTGAATGCACTGGAAATCCTCTCACGGAACTACCAAGATGCGATTGTAGGAGAGGTGCGCAATCTAACAGATTACTCTTAGAAGATGCTCCAATGCGGGTAAACCAACAAAATTCTTGAATCGACTCTTCTCATTTCGCAAAAATGATGTTATCACCGTGGAGCATTTCCCTTCTAAGGCTTACGCAGATATTTGTATGGCACAGGACTGCAGTCCCCTACCACACCAACGCCACGTTAAATACTGTCGTCCGAAAGAAAAACTGTTGTGATGTGCAAAAGTAAATAGTTACCGCTACGCTAGTCTCGGTTTACTCAGAGTGCCGAAGCGTAAAACTGGTGGCCCCTACGCACAATTTCGGGGTTACGCGTCACAAAAGGGGCCCGCTGTGGTTCACTTGCGAGGAGGGATATTTCAGCACGCATAGGTCTCAGAAGGGTGAACAGGCACGCAAACTGCGTGTTAGCGGACAATGAGGGCACGCTTCACGGAAATCTTTCGCATCAACGCAAGGTACAAATTCTACACGAAATGTACGAGAGGGAACTGGATGGTGAGAAAAGCGTTCGTTTCTGAAGATTGATCGAAAGAAGCGAAAGCAGACCCGTGGACGTGTGCGACGAGACAAGACCACACAAAGAGACGGATTCATCAAAAAACGAGCTCGTGTTTGCATTTTGGGGGCGGGGCATACGGACGACTCGTACGCGTAGAACAAAAAAGGACCCTATTGCTTTGAACACTTGTTATTCAAGCAACGTACCCCTTTTGACTTAGATGTACAAGTTGTCCTTATGCCACACCCTCTAGATGCAATCACGAGCTCGTTCATTATGAGCCCTTCCTACATTTGGGCAGTAAAATGTCCTTTCAGAATCGAAAGATGTCATTTTTGGAACGAACAAGAACAGCCCAGTGAGCAGCACCCCAGAGTACGGTAAACTCCTACATACACGTTTGGACTTCCCACATTAGCCCTGAGCTAGTTTGTCACATTAGATTTCATACCACATTAGCGCAGGACTTCATTATCTGAATGTCAGATCACGCAAAGTGTAAACGTGCTTTTGCACCTTATTATTCCAACGGTTCAATTAGATGGAAATGTTGCCGAGAAAGAACATTCCCAAATTCCCCTAGGCCATGTCCATACTTTGCGAACGTGTAGGACCGGCGAGTGGGATGATCGAAGAAAAAAAACGTTCACGCATCGACCAAGGATATCGAGGGATTAAATCTATAGGGATTCTATAGGTTCTATAGGTGCCTGTGGGGGTCATATAGGGGTTCAGAAGAGACAAAGAGAAACAACGGTTCCCTGAGCAAATGAAATCAAACAGTGTAGTACGCAACCGTCCAACAATTTAATAATTCATTAATTTGATTTCAATACCATGCATCCAAATTTATGTCGGATTTTTATTGAAATATTCCATCTGGGAGGCGGAGGTGGTGTAGTGACAAGTGGCGCGCTTACCACTCGCGCGGCGCCGGGTTCGAATCCCGGGTCGACTCCCGCCCAGGCCAACCAAGCCTTCTACCCTCCGGGGACGGTGGATTGGTAGGGGCGGGGGGTGGGTCGCCAAGGGAATTCGGCCCCAATCCCCCGCCCAGGCAAGACAC